CGGATGTGCCTTGAGTCCAAACGCGATCTTGATGTATAGTTCCTTCCACTTTTGCATTCCTGGGTGCTCGGGGTACCAGTCCATTGCGCTGTAGTTGCACTCTCGGACTGCGACGATGCCGCCTGGCTTCGTCAAGCGCTTCATCTCTTTCATGGCACCTAGCGGATCTTGTAGATGCTGCAGCACTTGATGCGCATGTACAATATCGAAGCCTGCCTCCTCTATGCCATCGAGCTTGTTCCACTCATGTATATCTCCAGCCTCGAACCGTATATTTGTAATGCCCTTTTCCTCCGCGTGTTTTCGCGCCTTCTCGATGACTTCGGCGGAGGGATCGATGGCATAGACGAAGCCTTGTGGGACGCGCGCAGCAAGGTCAACGCTGATGGTTCCTGGACCGCAGCCCACGTCGAGGATCTTGAGCGAAGGGTTGTTGAGGTAAGGAAGGAGGTGAGGACACGAGTTCTCGACAGTGCGCCAGCTGTGGGAGCGGAGGACGGACGCGTGATGGCCGTGAAGGTATGGTCCGGACATTGTTGCTAATTGAGGTAATCGTGATAATCGTGTCCAAGCTGTAGTAAGTAGTCAATTGAGGGTATGATGAGCAGCTCTAGCAACGGAGAATAAGAGTCTTGTTATACGAACAGTCGTTCCTGCAGCCTGGGTTAGTCGCGGAGTTAGTTGGACATATCGCGCGTATGGTCGGAAATAACGTGTATAAGTATTTTATACTCCGAAGTCGGTACTAGGACACTCTGTCTTTACTTCGAAGTGTTCGAGAGCCAGGATGAGGTGACAATGGAAGGGATGGTTGACAGGCCACACCAGGGCATCTCCAAGTCCGAGCATCGGCCATCTCGGTACCATCGCTTAGTCACCCATCCGATCAGCCACCTCCATACCTCCACCATCTACTCCAACATCTCAAAGGCCAAGTCGCGCATTGCCAGAATGCGTACAAGGCACATCACGTACCCAGCATGAGTACCACAGTCCAATCTGACCCTACCCAACCCTGCCGACCACCCCAGCCACCTGAGCACCCACCAAAACACCAACCACCCTAGTCCCAAAACAGACAATGGTAAACCCTCCCAAAACCTCACAACCAAGATATTACCCACACATTACACACGCGCGCGCATGCTGCCGTGCCCCAAAACCTCATCCTCGGGTCAACTCGGTCCCACTGCTTGCTCACTCTCATCCTGAATATACCGCATCGAGTAGGTCTTCGCACAAACCGTGGATTGCGGGAAACGTGCATTGTCCGTTTTGGATGTGGTCGGCATGTATGTTTCGGGTAGCGCTGCATGTGGGCATGCAGGGAGTGGTGAGTTTGTGGTTGGGCATGCAGGTTTGAGTGGTGCGGGATGGATGAATGGATGGATGGCTGATGGGGCGAGGCGACGGATGGGGTAATGGGGAGCGAGAGGACAGGGGGTGGCTGAGGGTATGTAGGGACTGGGATATATATTGGAGAGTGGTAGGCTAATTGGTTTGTGCAGTTGTATCTTGGTTTCTGCGGCTGAGGTTGTGAGATGAGGCAATTGTACAGAATGGTAATGCGTATGCTAAGCTAATCGCAAGAAGAACGATGATAGTATAAAGCGGGAAACGTATTTTTCGTACCAAAAGAGGTGAGGGTGGTAGTACAAGCCCAAGCGAACCACAAGGAGAACAAAGAAAGACCCAAGCAATGCCGCACTACCCATCAAACCAGCAGAACACCAACTCGCGAAATATGCGACTACCTCCTCGAAAATCTACCATCAAATGAATCAGCCTCGCGATCATACCCAGACAGACTCTTTCGTCTCCGTCCGCCCTCCGCTAAACTAGCGCTCCTCCGACTCCCCTTACTTCTCACCGAAGTAGAATATCCAATCCCGCTGTCCCTACGACTACCCGGCTGTTCGATAACCTCCACAATATCCTCTTCGTGCTTGAGCTGCCTGGTATCGTGATCATCCGAGAGATGTTTGATAAGAGCCTTGACATCTCCGCAAATAGTATCCGAGTCCGCGTACTTGGAGCAAATGACACAGCAGTATTGGCCGTCAGGTCCGTCACGATGACACTTGACGACGAAGCGGTTCTGGACCTGGAAAGTTCGTTCTGTGTCGTCGGCCCATTTGGAGATTTCCCATGCTTTCCCTGGTGAGAGGTGGAGTTCGCCTTTGCAGTGTGGACAGTAGGGGTCCCGGTCTGATAGTATGCTGTTGGCAAGTTGTTGGGTTGGGTTCCGTTGGAGATCGTATGCGTATGCACAGTATAGGTTGTTGGAACTTGAGATCATGGTGGGCCCGGTTACGGAGGTGGCGTCAGTGACGGATTGTTCTGGCTCGACGTTGTCTCGCCATGCTAGCACTGTTGTGTTGACAGGGCTGCTACTTCGTACGTGTGAACTCCGCGATCGTGGTTCCGGGTACTTCATGAGAGCCGTGGATGCTGAACTCATACTAGCGCCAGATTGAGGCAGTGTTAGTGCGCGAGATGGTGCATGTGATTGCACGTGCGAAGGCATATGTGAAGGTGCCTGGGACATGACGTGGGATGGCGCGTAAGACGGTGCGTGGGATCCTATCAAAGACTTCGCACGAGATCGCGTACGGGATGTCACATGTGACGGTACATGCGATGGCGCATGGGAGGTATGATGGGATGAGACGTGTGATGGCGCATGAGAAGCATGGTGGGATGGCGCATGCGAAGGCGGGCGCGATGTATGATGTGACGATAAATGTGAAGGCGCATGCGATGTATGAAGGGTCATTGCTTGTGATGGCGCATGAGACGGGCTCGAACGTGCCGTGAACGAGTGCATCGACCTCGGTGTAAGTGGCCTCTCATCTTGTTGACGTTCCTGCAACGCAGCCAATATCTCGACCGACGTTGCAGCTGCTACTCTGGATGCCGCGTTGATATTGGCTAGCTGATGCGCGATGGTGTCGCCGGAGGTGGGTCCGTACAGGAAGGTGGTGACCAGCACGCTTTGGAGGGTAATGATCTGTGACTGGAGGGCTGTATGCGCGGTTACTGGTAGTGTGTTGTTAGCTGATGGGGTCGCATGGGGTTCAGAAGAGGAAGAGCGCGCATACCATCGCCCATGGCAAACTCGGCCCCCAGAGTTTCACATCCAATATCCATCTGCCTCATGACCACAGCTTTGTCCGTCACGATAGCCTCATCACTACCCAATCGGTCATCCTTCACGTACTCGATCCGCCTCGAAGCAGGGTATCCTTTGCTGCGCAGATTTTGTTCATAGTCTCTTTGCTCTTTCGCCGTGAGCGTTCCGTAAAGATCCCTCGTGGCATCAAAGACATCCAAGAGTGTGTTCACGAGCGACTGCACGACATTCGCCGGATCTTCGGAAGGGTTCTGGAGTCGGTCGTCAGTACGCCCATTCATCAAACAACATGCCTTGCTTGCATATATACGGGCCGAATAGGAGGTATGCTTACTATGATAGCGACGCTCATGATCACACTTCGCTGTTTTTACTTGTTGTCGTTTCCGTTCCTGCTTCCTGCCGCACCGTACTTCCCTGATATGTATAAGACAGAAACAAACCTGACTCGCAATCAAAAGGGGAGCTGAGACAGGCGGATCTAAAGTAGCTTAAAACTAAGAGTTGAGGCCCTAAGAAGTCACGTTCTAGGCACCACCGCAAAGGGGTCCTCAGTTACCTATACAAAACGTCCCACGCTCTCCAACCCACAGACCCCTTTGAATAAGCTCCGCAACGGATTGCTTCCCCACTCAAGCCCTACTTTGTTATGAATCGCCTCATGCTTGATGATGGCTTGGACAGCTGGCAGGGCGCCATTGGTGCTGAGCGCACTTTTGATTGGAACATCCACCGCTACGGGCCGCGCCAGGAACGCGTCCGCATGAAGCTTGACGTCATTCTCCAAACGTAGCGCCACGCCGATGGGAATTGTGGGTGTGACTTGAGTGCCAGTGCGCGGGGTGGATGCGTCGTATTACTTCTCTGGGTCGCGGTGGAGGTGATAAGACCCAAATGCGGGTATAACGCCTTGTGTCATACTCAAACGGGTCCATTGTACGGGTGGGTTCTGCCCACGGTCTCGACGTTTCTGAGTTTTCCCGACATGCAACATGATATAGAGTGGGAGCGGTCTGGGGAGTCGCAAACTATTGAAGTGACTGTATCGTGCATGTCGCTCGGGAGCTGGCATTGGGACGCGCTGGTTGCGCTTGGGGAATGCGGTGTCGGAACACGTCATCGGGCGCGAGCAAAAGCGCAAAACGCGACCTAGCTATGTACGCGCCTCCCGCGACGATGCTTCTCGGGTATGGATGAGAACGGTCCTTTTTGGATCGAGGCTCTGTTTTGGGCGCCATCGTGTGATCGGGTGCGAGAGTAACAGTGACACTAGGGGTAGGGATCGTGGCAGGCTCTCGATCATCGCCGTGGTTAGCGTGGCACTAGCGCTTGATGGTCGTGCTGCCGGCCTCACAACATCGGGGTCAGACACCGGAAGCTATAATGTCCATACGAATTAACATGCAAATGAATACAGTATTAAGTTTGTGACCGGAAGATCTAGTTTGCACATAACGGTAACCCGCGGGTCGGGACTGTCAAAGATTCACCTAGTACGAATACAGTCAGCTAATACCTCAGGGAGAACAGCCAAGGAGTGTGACTAAGCTATCATATTCACACGACCGGCATGTAAGCCTCGAATATCCGTCTGTTGAGTCCTAAGACACTGTCGTGTAAAGGACGCACTACTGCGATACATAGTCATGCTTGCCCAGCACGAGCGGTGAGTCTAGGACAGCCAGATCCCAACACCATCAAAGACACCGAGAAGGTACCACATGCCTCTTCTACCACCTCCAAAAATGCCAGGGACGGTATAGATGTGCGTCTAGTTGCATCATCTAGCTCTTCCGAAGACGAGCAGAGAGAGATTGTTGCCATCCCAGTGACGCTCTCGGAGGCCTCCGACTCCCATAACCTTGCTTCACTCTGCAGATTCCTCCGGCTCAATACTCCTACTCTTGCTATCTTCGAGGCTCTTCTCTTTGATAAACCACGCAAAGATGGCGCTCCCTGCAACAAGCACAATGCCTACACACAATGCGGCCCTAGTAGCTCTTCCGTAACACTCCCGGACGATGCTCTTGAGTGCCGGATCCAGACCCCTGTAGTAAGCCAATCCAGCCCTGACACGCTCCGCAATCTCAGCCGCATCGTCACCCTGCAGCCTTTCCTGGAGAGATTTGCGGAGTGTCTGGTTAAACGCCGTAGCGCACATGGAAACACCGAAGACAGACCCGAGAGAGCGGAATAGGTAGGAACAGGCGGTGGCAACGGCTTGGTCGGTGTGTGAGGCATTCGCGATGAGGCCGATGAGTGTCGTCGTTACTCCTGTGCCGTTGCTAAAAGAGCATACGCATGTAGCCACCACCATCACGGGTAAGCTCTCGGTTAATAGGCCAGCGAATAGGAGGATGAATGAGAGCCCGATTGTGAGGTTCGTATACGCCATGACGGTGACCCAATAGTACTTCGCTGTACGCCTCATGTAAAAGCCGCTGAAAAGCGAGCCGCTAACACCGAAGATGATGGAAGGGACAAGGAACAGTCCGGCTTTGGAAGCGCTGTAGTCGCCCATGACCTGCCAGTAGAGCGGTATGAAGAATAAGGCAGCCAACCATCCCCCGAAAGAGAAGAAGTTGCAAAGATAGCATGCGAAGAGCGTCTTATTGAGGATGATCCGGCCGGGGGCGAAAGGATGGCTTGCGACATACTTCTCGACTAAGACGAAGACGACGAATAGCGGCGTAGAAGCAAGACCGACGATGGTAACCGGGTTGTTCCAGGACACGTTGGAGCCACGATCAAGACCGACAAGTAAACCGAAGACGGCAAAGATCAGGATGACGGCGCCCAGAAAGTCTATTCTCTTGATCTTCTCCTTCCAGTGCGAGTGGTCTTGCTCTGGGAGATCAAGCACCAATGACACAGCAATGAAGGCAGCAGCGCACATTGGACCTTGCGCCAGGAATGCCTAAACGTAGGTGTATGAAGTCAGTACATGTCTCACATGCAGTTCGTACAGCGATATTTCTTACCCATCGCCATCCAATGCTATCCGCGAGTAACCCGCCGAGGGGCGCCCCAGCCGAAGCACCGAAAGCGTAGACCAAGTTAACATAACCCCTAAACGTGCGCATAATCATCAGTCTCCATCTCACAAACACTTCATACCTCGCCACTTACTGCCACTGCCCCCTCTCTCTCAACCCCACAATATCACTCAGCAAAATACTCGTGCACACACTCATCCCACCACCCCCTATCCCCGCAAAGGCCCTCGCAGCAACCAACTAAAAAGGTAAGGATACAAAGTCAGTGTATGTATCACATCCAGTTCGTACGGCCACAGCTTACCTCACCGATGGTCCTCGCGAGTCCACAACCTACACTTCCGATTCCAAAGATGAGATACGCAGACAATAGACATTGTTTGCGGCCAAAGATATCAGAGAGCTTGCCATAGAGAGGCTGGAACGCAGATAACGTGAGGAAATACCCCGTCGCGATCCATGATGTAGAGGATAGGGCGTGTAGATCCGTGCCGATGGTGCCGTAGGTGGTTATGACGAGGGTTTGGTCTGCGGAGGATAGGAAGACCTGTTAATCCACTCATTAGTATGAAGAACTTTTGGACGGGGACATGCAGGTATGAAGATAGGACAGGAGGCATACTTACACCAATAGCAATAGCAGGAAATATATACTTCATCCTCTTCCTGACTTCAGGCAAGCCCTGGTGTTTGAACGCGTCGCCATGGCTGACTTGGCGCTCGATGTCTCCTCCATCTTCTGCGTGTAGCCCTTCTGGCGCGATACCAGTTTCTACGACGGTTGTAGGCGCGTCGTTCGTGGGGTTTGGCAGGAGTGGGGTGGTTTCATGCGCAGGGACATGCTCGTCGCGTGGAGGGTTCGGCGTCATCGCGGCGGGGTCAGGGTCGGGATGGCTTGCAACGTCGAGACGCTGGATACTGCTCAAGACATGGAGGAGTGTGAAAGCGAGCTTTAGCTATATGTCTTTGACGCGCAAGTATGACTCTTCAAAGTTGTCATAGCGATGATCGGTAAGCTTCACGCGTTGTTGCTGGGACAAGTTCTTGAGTCCGCGTTATGTCCGTAGGGCGTAGTGGGGCGGGCTGGATGAGATAGGCAGGTCGTTGGATGGATCACGGGAAGTCGCGATGACACGAACGCGTTCACAGATAAAGGAGATGCAGCTGCAGAAACCGTGAGGTCGCTAATGTACACGTAGACTACAGTAACTATAATATTTCCGCAGACCGGTCCATGCATGGGAAAGGCAACAAGGTACAAAATGCACACTTCATAACAGACGATTATCATTAATCGCAGCGCGTTTATAGTATTACCCGAACGCATCAAGCGGTTTGGTATCTCCTCAGCTGTGGTGAAGTTAGCGAATGTTCTTATGTTCACATGAAGGGAGCAACTTACATCCAGACTCAAGTATTTGCTCGTCATCTTGCCCTGGTCCCGCATGACGCCCACCAGCGTCTCACTCTCTTGGAAGAAACCTGCCTTCAAAGAGATAACGATGAATTGCATACCGGGGCTAGCATGCTCGCGCACGTACTTGGCCACTCTGCTAACGTTGACGTTGTCCAGTGCTGCATCGACTTCATCGAGAACGAAGAACGGCGAGGGCTGGTAGCTGTGAATGGCGAACAGCAGAGCAAGCGCGGCAATTGTCTTCTCACCACCAGAAAGATGCTCCATGTCGCGGAAACGCTTGAGCGGCGGCATGGCGTGGTATTTGAGACCTGCGAGGTACGGCTCCGAGCTGTCTTCCATATCGAGATACGCCTGTCCTCCAAGCGGGAACTGTGGCGACTTGGTCAGGTCCTTGTAAGTACCACCAATGTTCTCGGATATATGGTTGAAAGCCTTCATGAAGAGATCGTAGCGCTTGGTCTTCACTTCCTCGAAAGCTTTCTTCGCTGCTGCTGCGCGCTTGCGCGTCTCTGCGAATGCTTCGTCGACGGCTTTGAGACGCGCTTCTGTTGCAACGAGACGTTCAGCAGCGCGCATGTTGGGTGTAGCCTTGTTGATGTCGGTTTCGAGGTTCGTAATCACATCATTCAACTTGGCTTCAGCGGCCTTGAGCAGATTGCTAGCTTGCGATTGCACGCGCTCATCTGGGTCGTCCTCCTGCGCGGTGTTAGTACATTTCATGAGAAACACTTCAAACCTGGAACTTACACTCTCAAGTATTTCAACAACCTCCGTCTTCAACTCATCGTCGAGCTGGTCAAAGTCGACCTCGATGCCATAGTCATCCACCTCCGCGGCCTGTATCTGGGTCGAATCAGGGTCCTCGTCAACGTCCATAGCGTCTTCATCTGCGTCTGGCCGCGGCATATCAGTCATCGGTAAGGACGCCAGTGGTTTAGAGTCTTCCGTGAGTGGAATCTTAATCTCGTTGACACGGCACTCCTTGAGCACATTGTAGCGGTTCGTCGCGCTCGACTTGATCTTTGCATCCTCCTGGTCGACCTCCTTCAGCACATTCTTGACCTTTTCATTGCGCTGATCTAGAGTGCGTCGTGCCTCCTTGACAGCTGCAACGCGTTCAGCCAGTTTCTCCTCCAACCGCTGTCGGTGATCCTGCAGCGTTTCCAGCTCAGCCTGAAGTACGTCACGGGCGCTTTGCAGCTCTTCCCGCTTGGCTTCGAGCTCGGTGATGTCAGCAGTCTTGCGCTTAATCTCCTCCTCGGCTTGCTTCAGGCGTTCCTCTACACCTCGGGCCGATGAGTCGACCTGCTTCATCAGATATTGAAGTCTGCTACGCTGTTTGCTGAACTCCAGACGCTTTTCAGCTGCTTCCTGCTGCACAGTACCCTGTTGAGCTTCGTAGTCGCGAATGGACTCATAGCCGAGCCGTTGGCAGAACGCGGCGAAGACCTGGTCATTGACCTGATTCACCGTGTCTTGGTAGGTTTGGAGTTCTTCTTCCCGGTCCTGCAGCCGTTGTGCCTGCTTCTCGTAGTTGGGTCGAACACCCTTCAACTCGCTCTTGTGATGTGCTAGCTCCTTCTTAACGCTCTCAATGTTGCGACCAAGCGCTTTGGCTTCTTCCTTGGCTCGGAAAATTTGCTCCTGTAGATCGAGCAACTCGACTTCGAGAGCCTGTTCCTGGGTGTACTGGCGGTCTTGTTTAGGGAGCGCACGGAGCTCTTCTTCATACCTGTTCTTCTTGTCTACAAGCGTCTGGTAGGACCGCTCGTCCCATTGTTGCTCGCTTGAATCGTCGTCGCGGTCAAGCTCACCACCCGTCTGTGTACCGCCTTTGCCGATTACACGACCATCCAGGGTGACTGCCTTGACTTCGATGCGCCTTGTATATCTGAGCTCTTTCGCAAGCTTCTCCGTGTTACAGATCATGGTGTTGCCACATGCCGCAGTCATAGCGCGCTCGTGTTTGGGCTCATAGTTGATACAGTCGATAGCAAGTCGCATGCCCTCGTGCATACCCTTCAGTTGGGGATCTACCGCCTGAATCTGAATTGAGTCTAGCGGATTGAAAGACATGACACCGATGCGTTCTGCCTTGAGATATTCGATGCATGACTTGGCGGTGGTTTCGGTGTCGACAATGACAGTATCCATCTGGTGTCCGAGTACGCGACCGATAGCCTTACGGTATTTCTGCATCTTGGGAGTGATGAGATCCTTGTATCGGCCGTGCACTTTCTCAGATCCAAAGCGGGTCTTCAAGCGATCAATGGTTCTGCGGGCCTCCTGTTGCTTCCTTGACTCCCGACGGCTGCCTTCGACGATGCTGAGTTGCTTCAAGACTTCTTGCAGTAACTGGTTCTTCTCGTAGTATTGCATCTCGATCTGCTTTCGGTCGGCTCGGAGTCTGTCGAGCTCCTGCTGTTTGGCGACTCTTGCGCTTTCCAGATCCTTGACTTGCGTCTTGGAAGCCTTCTGGCGCTCCTCGAGCTGGCTGATGTCGGCATTCAGCCTCTCGACAGCCTTTTCGTGGTTGTCGACGCTCTGCTGGAGGTTCTTGACATGGTCGCGGTCGGTCTCAACCTCGCGCTTGAGCTTGTCTATCTGCATTTGGTCTCCGTGGGTGCGCTTTGTAACGTCGCTACGTAGTCGGCCGTATTCTTGAAGGTCCTGCTCGGAAAGCTCGCGGCCCTGGTTCTGGGCAGCCGCCTTGAAGTCATCCTCCCACTTCTTCTCGGCCTTTTGGACCAGATCGAGGTCCTTCTGGCACTTCTCGACAGCCTTCTTCTCAGCGTCGCGCTTCTTGCGGAGCTCCTCGAGTCTGCTCTCGTATTTCCGACGGGTGTCGTTGGAAAGGCGGATCTTCTCTTCGATAGGAGCGAGCTCGTTGGAGGCGTCCTCGATCTCCTTCTCCTTGGCCTTGGTATTCCGGTCAGTCTTGGTCAGATCTCGCCTGATCTTGGCCTCGGCCTGCCTCTCCGCCTCGTGGCGCTGGTGGTATTTCTCGACGCTGCGCTTGTGTTCCTTAAGCTCTTCCTGGTGGCTGGCGATCTTGTTCCGCGCCTTCTCCATAATCTGCTGGTCTAGGTAGAGCTTCCACAGGTTCTTTGTGACAACAGCTTCGTCGCGCTCGGCGAGCTTCTTCTCGTATTCGTCGGCCTCGGCCTTTTGCTCCTGATATGTCTTGAGCTCTCCGTTGATGCCGCGACGCTCGTGCAGATGTTTCGCGTTGTCTTCGGTGGCGTTCTCGGACTCTTCCTTGAGGCGGTCGTATTCGGCCTTTTGTTCCAGACTGCCAGAGATGCGCTCGACCTGTAGTGTCAGCTGTTCGGGCGCGGTCGTCGCAAGTTTCTCCACGTCTCCCTGGAAGACGAGGAAATTCCTCGCCTTGACCAAGATGCTGTGCTCCTCCAGCGCCTCGCCGTACTGCTTCTGGGTGACGATGCGGTTGTTGATTCGGTACTCGCTGGAGCCGGAGCTGGTGATGGCGCGCTGCCACTCGTGTGTCTGCTCGGCATCGTCCTCGAAGACGGCCTTGACCCAGGCGTTCTGGGGATCGTTGCGCTGCGAGCTGGTTTGCGAGTCGCCGTTGTCCTGTGTGTCGCCATTGGACTGGCCGTTCGCGTCGCCATTCGCATCGCCGTCGGCTTCGGTGACGGTGCCATCGGCGTTGATTCTCGCTTCCTGGATGATCCTGCCGCGGTAGACCATGTCCTTCAACTTCTCGGAGCGCAGATGGGACGACCGGACTCCCAGGACGAAGGAGATGGCGTCCATGCTGTTCGACTTGCCCGAGCCATTGGGGCCGATGATGGAGGTGAAGTACGAGTCGCCAAAGAGGAGCGTATGGCGTCCGCGGTACGACTTGAAGTCTGCGCATGTTTAGTCTGTGGTTGCAAGCAATTGCGCGTCGGGGGTGCCTACTGTAGATCTCGAGCCGCACGAGTTTTCCCATGATGGCGGTGGGGTTGCGCGACACCTAAAATGGCGATTGCGCTGTGGGAGGGTCGTGTTGGGCGGGTGGAGAGTCGCGGGGCGGGCTGCCCGTGATAATCGTCGTGTTGTCGCGCGTAGTCGCGTTGACGGCCAAAGCGCGCTAGTGGCTCGACGTGCATGGTGGCCCGCAGTGACGAAAGCGTGGCCGCAGGCAGGGGAGCTCTACGCCGGCCCTGCTTGTCTACCTACATTTTCCTATATTCGCTGCAGTCTCGGGGAACCTGCGCCGTCTTTCTGAACCCTCTGTTCATCTTGCCTCCCCTCGTGACCTCTCCCATCTCGCATGCCACGGGTGCCTGCGATGACGTTGTGAAGCTTGCCAATCACCAGCTTGCATTCACCCACGACCTCTCCCCCAGAAGCCCCGAAGTTCTGAGAGGAGCACGATTCTCGACCCCCGCACATCACTCGCCTTGTCATGAGAGCATAGGGTCTGATTAGATCTGATCTAAGCCGCCCCTTCCCACTGTACGCCCTCTTCTATGATATACCGCCTCTGCCCTAAACATGGACCGGGGGCACTCCTAGCAAGATACAGCAGCTAACAGCGATGACGGCTGCAGGTTCCCCCCCGCGTCCTTTCAAGAGACCCCTCCACCGCCGAACGCCCTCTAGCCTCGAAATCGTTCAAGAGGAACTCCCCACCATGGCGACCCCGGAAGATGCAGACATAGGCGGTATTCCCAAATCCAGGTCGGAACCGCAGCTGGGAGTCTCTGAGCTTTCGGCCCGTCCGACTCCAGGCGACTCTGCGCTGCTGGATGAGCCTGTATCCTCCGCAAACCAGCCACTGTCCACGCCTGGTCTCTCCCGCTCTGCCTCTTTCTCCAACAGCTCCTACCACGATGACTCCGACGTCGAAGATGCCGCCTTCTTCCCGCCCGTCGAAAAGCTCACCATGTTCGACTTTGTCGAGAACCTCGCCCTGTCGCAGCGCATCGAGAAGATCCAGAGTTCCATCGCCTCCCAGACGGAGAAGATCAAGAACCAAGCGAAGAACCGGGGCATCACAAAAGATCGCGTTGTGGAAGAATGGCGGCGCAGAGTGCCGTCGGAAGCGGAGCAGCTCGAGAAGTACAAGAGGCGCATGCGCCATTCGGTCGACCGTCTGAACCGCCGCTGGAACGAATCGCTCACCGTCACTGCGCGCGAAAAGGCTTCCTTCATCGCCGCCGTCATGAACATATTCGTCTCAGGATACCTCGTGGGCTGCCACCCCGACCTGTTCCCACACTGGTACACCGCTCAGCTGCTCTACTTTATGCCTATCCGCTTCATGACCTACCACAAGAAGGGCTACCACTACTTCCTGGCCGATCTGTGCTACTTCGTCAACATACTACTGGTTCTGAGTGTGTGGGTCTTCCCGCAGTCTAAGCGCCTGTTCATCGCGACATACTGCCTCTGCATGGGAAACAACGCCGTCGCTATTGTCATGTGGCGTAACTCGCTCGTCTTCCACAGCATGGACAAAGTCGTTAGGTAAGTCGCACATTCCTCTAACATCAGTCATCTACTAACCTGCCTAGTCTCTTCATCCACATCATGCCCTGCGTCACGCTGCACTGCCTTGTTCACCTGCTGCCCCCGGAATACCAGCAAGAGAAATATCCCGCCATCTACGACATCCGCCACTCGGACCCAACCTCGCCTCACCACTACAACCTACTGCAAATGATGGTCTGGGCTACTTGCCCATATGCTGTCTGGCAAGTCGCCTACCACCTCCTCATCACAGTACGACGCCGCGACAAGATCGCCGCTGGCCGGCCTACGAGCTTCACATGGTTGCGCAAGTCGTACGCCAAAACGTGGATCGGCAAAATCGTTCTCTCGCTACCCGACTTCATGCAAGAGCCAGCCTTCATGTTCATCCAATACAGCTATGCTGTCCTCACGATGCTACCATGCCCTGTCTGGTTCTGGTACCGCTGGCCCAGTGGTTTGTTCCTCACCATCGTCTTCATCTGGAGTGTCTACAACGGCGCAACCTATTACATCGACGTCTTCGGTAACCGCTTCCAAAAAGAGTTGGAACAGCTGAAGAAGGACATGGCGAAATGGCAGGCATCGCCCGAAGGTGGTTTCACGCCCTTCACGCCAATGGAAGGGGGCAACGAGAAGCAATTAGGTTACATCCCTCCTCTCGAAGGCAGCACCAGCGTCAAGCCAGTGGACGGAGAGACAAGGGAGAGGAAGTAGCTTGCTAACAAGCCTTTTCATTTACAGATTCACGACGACCATGTACCTGCGCAAGTCCTGTTTTACGTACTGTCTACACGATTCCAGAATGAGACGATCTAGGCGTTTGATTTGCTCCAAGTAGTTTTCTTTCCGTACTTGCGTTTGAGGGCTGCATCCGCGCGCGCGTTTGATTTGTTGCATTGCGTAGACTGGTTGGTTGGTTGATATACCCCCTTTCCTTCGCTAAGTCTCGTCACTCTTCGTTATAGCTATACTTAATCCTCAAGCTTCTATCGATATTTCAGTCTGATATTTCACAACATCTTTATATACGCTACCATCGTCCTTGTCTATACCGAATGTATACTAACGACACAGCATCCACTGGGCTATCTATCCAGGATTACTGTATTTCGTCCCATCATACCAGAATATGTCTCCTCTTTGACGGCCCAGGGTTCATATACGTCTCGCCAGCCGTCATGTCCCTACTCAAAAGATCGATCCCAACACGCCCCTTCAGTCTTTAAGATACGTACAAAGACCGTTGCAATGGTCAAAATCGCAATGGTGGTACTCTTCCGCAGCGGGTGGAGGCGAAGGACGAGGCTCTTGCTCTTCACCCCTTGTCTCACCGCGGTGTTCACGCTGGTCTTCAAGTCGCCGAACTAGAGCTTGGAACGCATTCCAGGTCTCTTCTCGTCCCCGTCTCTCCCTCTCTACATCACTGGTCAATCCGAGTGCGTGCCGCCGCATGGTTCGCATAGTGTATTGGAATGCTTCTCGGATTTCTCGCGCCTGCTGGGCCGCGGCTCTACTCGCTGCTGCTGCAGCTAGCGCCTGCTCTGCGGCCTGTTCTGCAAGTTGAGCTTGAGCTTGAGCATAAGCATAAGCTTGAGCCGCTATCGCAGCTTGTGCCTGAGCATTCCTCGCAGCTTGGGCTTGGACATGTGCCGCGGTTTGGGCTTCGGCTTCAGCTTCTCGTGTCCGTGTCTTCGCAATAACGGCGTTGATGGTGTTGGTCGTGGCATCCTCGATGGATGTTTGGAGGCGGGATGGTGATGGCATGTTTGGTGTGCTGCTGTCTTGCTTTGAGTGGGTGGATGTTATTGGGGTTGCGTGGAGCGACAAACCATTTAGTAAAGGAAGTATTTCTCCATTCTTTTATCTGCTCGAGGAGCACCAGATGCTGTTCACCATCTACAATCCACCCGAAAGAGGCTGACACTCCTTCACAGTACACTTTCCCGCCTGCGAAACGCTGACTCACGGAGCTGTCCCCCATATTCTACCGCATTTCACCCCCTCTCCCCCTCCCTCTCCCCCAATCTAGTGAAAGTACTTCCAAGTCATCCCCCTCGTCACCTTCCACCCTTCATCCAACACCTTCACAACCCCCTCATCCGACGGCCCCTTCTCAAAGTCCCTAAGATTCATCTCCAACTGCCCCTTACTACTCGCCCCAATAATAACCTTGTCTCCAAACTCTTTCTTCAGCTGACTATGATGCATCATCCACCTGAGCGCCGTTTCACTCTCCGTCTGGCCTTCAGGTAGTTCAGATCGCAGGCTTTCGATCGCGGTGAAGAACTCGTCGTTCCAGTAGCGTGCGCGGTACATTTTGCCTTGCATGCCTGTGGGGTATCAGTATTAGCTCCGAATTTTGCGACATGGTATAAAGGGGAAGATCGAGGAAAAGTATTGACCTACGGTTCGCATCAAACCGACTTCCGGCTTCAAGAGCATCATTCTGCGTCTCGCGCTTGTACCGCGAGGTCAACCACCCGCCCGCCAATGGATTGAACGCATAAAACGACATATTGTATTTGCGCAGACAGGGGAGGAGTTCGTGTTCGATGCTGCGGTGGAGGGCGTTGTATACGCCTTGGTATACGCTGGGTAACTGGTACCCGTTTGCTTTGCAGATCTCGCAGATCGCAGCGACTATGGTCGACTGTTAGCCTGGGATCTAGGATGCGAAACGTAGGAGGGTTGCAAGAGACGAATGGACTGGACTGGACACAGACATACCCTCCCAAGCCATAAAATTACTAACCCCCCACCTCTTAAACCTCTTCCCCCCTCCCTCCTCAAACAACTCATGCACCGCCCTCGCCGTCTCCTCAAGCGGCACACTCCGATCCGGCGCATGCAAATACCACAGATCCACTCCTTCCGCCCCAAGCGCAGTAAGACTCTCCTCCAAACTCTTGCCCATATCCGCTTTCTTAGAGTGCGTAGGCGTCCGCCCGAAAAGTCCATGGACGTTGGGGAAGAACTTCGTGTCCATTACTAGACCGCGCTTTTGCCAGGAGAGTTGGGCGAGGTATTCTTCGGATGTGCCGTCCTGGGTTTGGTTGTTAGCGGTGGGAAATGAGGGATGGGAATATGGAGAGGGGAATGGGTGTGCGTACGCCGTAGAAACGACTCGTGTCTACTTCGTTATGGCCGTGGGATTGGAAGGTATCGAGGATAGCTGCGCAGTCGGATAGGTCCGAGGTGCGGACTTGTTCTTCGCCTTCGCGGCCGAAGGTCATGCAGCCGAAGACGATGTCGAGGGGGGTTTTGGAAGCCATGGCTGGTATCTTGGGTGAATATTCTGGTGTTGCGAAGTTGGTGCTGGTGTGCAAATCATTGGAGTCCGAGAGTACTTATATTTCTAGCGACCCCATCATTACACATCTTCCATGTGGAGCTGTGGAGATAAGTGGTCATGATATGCAGGGTCTTGGCGGAGTTTGACGGAGTTAACGCGGGTTGCAACTCGGGACTGAAGGCAAGACTCTACGATGTCGATCGGCACTGCGTCCTCTTCAAACGATAGGTTTGGTGCTTCATACACGCTTGTTTAACTATTGTCGCTGTAGAGCTGATACGACCTTCTGGGACGGAGTTAGGCTTCGTTGATCAACGAGGCGGTGCGAATGAAGTCAGGTTTTCGTGACCATGTTGACAAAATTTCGGGATGGGGAAGAAATAGAGTAGTGGTATCTGTTAACTTATGGGTATTAGAAGTAATACTAACAAAGCTACATCCACCCCCAATGCATCACACCCTTCCCCATCATCCCTCCCAAACTCTACCATTAGAAAGTTTACCTTGACCCAGCATTAGTAGGATACTGATACGTAACCGGCTCACCCTTGATATCATTCTCCTCCCTCCACTGCAACCGATCGATCTCACTCACACCAGGACCCCTATAAACACTCCCATAAAGCCCACTAGCCCAGTCCTTGCCAGGCCCCTCCTTCGTCTCCTTCGTCGCCTTACGGCTATACCACTTTCCATAAGCCAACAGATAGTACAACCTAAAGCTCAAGAAAGCAAACTTGTCGCGCTCGAGATCAGCAGGGTACTGCGCACCGAGATCAACAGCCGCAGCGATACCGCTCATGACAGCGACTTCGTGAGCGTTGATGAGCGTCCATGCTGCTGCAAAGCGAGTGTGCTTTCGGCCTTGGAGGAGCCACATCCATGGTACTACGAAGACGTAATGGGTCCAGGAGTGGCAGAGCTGGTGCCACCAGTCCTTGCGGATGATCTTGTCTTTGTTGATTTCGTCGATGCTCCATAGATGGCCGTCGCGCGCCTTGTTCAGGTAGATGGTCTGGAAAATGTGCTTGTCGAAGGGGACGTCAGGCGGGAATTGACTTTGGTAGTTTGTGCAGTCGAAGCACATTTCTAGTTTTGATCGGTCTTGCGGGTACATCTTGATGTAGTACATGGGCTTGAAGTTCTTCTCGGCGTATTGGTTGCGGGCGGTTTGGTCGGCGCCGGAGAGTTCTTTGGCGGACTTTTCTGGGTCGTAGAAGTTCTCGTAGTGCTTGTGCATGTAGTCGCTGTCCCAGTGCGTGACGGTGATGTCGTCAGAGAATTTGGCGGAGCCGAGGACTTTCTTCTCGCGGAACGAGGCGGTGGGTTCCAGGATGCGCTTTGCGGTGTCGGCGAGTACGCAGAGAATGATTTCGTCATAGTGCTCTTCCTTTTCTTGCGCGTCCGCATCGGCGTTGTGCTCGTCGTCGTAGGGTACGTGGACACTGTTCGGGTTGTGCGAATCAGGCATGGGCGTGCGCTTGATCAGCCTGACAGTAACACCAGTATTGTCTCGCTTTACAATCCGAGTAATCTCCGTCGATAGCCTGACATTGACGCCTCTCTTGAGCAGATCCTGCCTCCAGCGCTCGTAGAACTCGCTGAACTTCGGGAAAACGACCATAGGCGGCAAATTGCTAGCAATGCTACGTTTGTCTACCGGATACCACATGCCATACGTTGGACTGGTGCAAAGGCGTTCTAGGATGATGCTGGGTACATTTGGCGTCTCGTTACCAGTTCCAAGGAAAAGTGCAATCATAGGCATGGCGACGGTGTTGGTGAACTCTTCGGAAAACCAGAACATTTTGAAAAGAATCTTGATCGGGATCAATGCGAAGAAGATCTCAAACCAACGGACAATCTTGATCATGGTATGGAATCTGCGAATCTCCTTCTGGTGGCGCGCAAGAAGCTCCGTGGGGAAGACGTTGGTCCAGAAGATGTCGTCCTTGCCGAAAGAAACTTGGAGGTTGACCGGGTCTGCGTGGTGGCCTTGTCTCGCGAACATTGTCATGGTGTGGTGGAAGATGTAGCTTCCTCCCTGGACACCCTGGTTTAGCCATTCGGCGCCATGGCGCTCTTTGTCGACTCCAATGGAAAAGGCCTGGCCACCACAGTAATCTACTGCGTCGATAAGGGTAACATCGAATTTGTCGGGGTGTTCAGAAAGATGGTGGGCACACGACATTCCTGCCTCAAATCAACCACAATACGTCTCAAAATACGCGTTCAACATACCAGCCGCTCCAGCTCCTACCACCAGCACCTTCTTCTTTCCATCCTTGTTACCGCCTGCCATATTCGTGGTGGGCAGAATAGGCGTTCTGTCAGTTGAATGTGGCATCGAAGTAAAAGGCTCAGCACTTATGCGACGCACGCTGCAGCAACGCAAGCTACTGCGGGCCTGTATTTGTCTGCAGCTGTCACGACATCAACCTCGAACAAATGCGTCATGAAATCTCAAAGCGGCATGGTCCGATCTTGACTGGCTGCGGCTATCGGTCGATCGTGCATCGCCAAGCGCTCACCAAACTTCAACACCACGCTAGATGATGATGTCATCCAAATTTGCGATTATTTTACATGACGGCAACATAGATATCTCGGTGCAATTTCCCTAGTCCCCAACGCGTGACCTCGTGTCTACAGCGTGTGCATTCCCTTTAGCGCCCTATCCGTCCAATCGTCCACCACGTCACCTGTCTGGTCGCCCGTGTTTTCAGAACGCGTCGGCGGATCCATAATGGGGAATGACACTGGATGTGTCGCCTGACTCAGGTCGAAGAAGTCTAATCCCAAATCGGCCGTCGCGTCTGTATACCAATCGTTTCCTATGTCGAGTATGTCGGCGTTATCCGTTCTTTCATCGGCCGCCATGTCTACCACATAGTCCAGAGACCCCTCCTGTGGCACATCCGGTACTGTTGGCGAATCGTTATTCTGAGTAACACCAGTTATCGTGGCAAATTGCAACGCAATGCGGCCAAGAGTTTTGTATGTAGGTGCGAGCTTCTGCATTCCGCGGACCTGGTCGAGCACAGTCCGCACCGTCGCTTTACGTTCAACGTCCCTCGGTGAATCTGTTTGGCCCTTGGGTCGCGCAAGAAAGTCTGCACATACAATCAAGACAGCGTGGAATACGAAGAAGAAGTCTAGCCAGGAGTAACCGATAATCTCGAATATCCCCAGCTCGATGCCGATGGTGATGCATTGGAGGCTTTTGTGTACTGATTCAACACAGTCCTCCGCCAGAATGAGGGTCGTAGACCAGTCTTCTGAAGTTGGGGGCGGTTTGTTCTCCAGGAAGCAGACGTTGCTTTCCACTTTCTGTATGAGGAAGTCTCGGGAGATGACACAACGCGTATAGTAATAGTACACGTGCAGCAATAATGTCATTGCTTTCAGATCTGGGTGCCCTGGCATATGATCTATCGACATGTGCGGAGGTATCTTTGCGAAGAAGTTGTCGCACTCCCGAAGTAGGGCCATGGCGACAGCGATGGTCGGGGATCGTTCTTCGGCAGAAGTTTTGTCGAAATAGGCACGTTGTCGAATGCGGTACGATGTGGACACTAGGTCGGAACAGAGATTCATGAATGCTGCGGTGATGCGCGTCTGCTCTAGCATTGGTGCGTCTGGCACTTTCATCGACATCTCTCGGTCATCAATCACTGTTGGGCGGCCCAATATGCCACACAGCGTCTTTTCGAATATGTAGAGGGACCACCAGACTTGTCGGCGGGTGTTGCATTCGATAGGTTCAAACTGTACGTTCGTACTATCTCGGTGCATTCCCATAGTAATGGCCTGATATGTGTTAGCAGAGCATGGGTGTCCTGTAAAGCATATAACGTACCATACGTGCAGCAAGACCTATCAGTAACCACGAGCTGCTCTTCTGCCCGATGTTATGGTGATGCATGTTGAGAAGAACGAGTGCTTGGACATTGTCCAGACGTGTCGATGTCAGAAGCGTCCGAAAGTAGGTTTTGGCGAAGGCGAGAAACTTGTGGCGCAGTGCATTCATTTGCTCGACATCATTTGCTTTTGATTTCTGGCAGCCAAACGACAACACCAAGGCCAAGGAGACTAGCCACCCCATATCCTTGCACTCTTCGAACAACTGCGTCTTCCGGGAGTACGTAGCCTCCAGTCGGATCTGAAACGTAGTTCTATTGAAAAGGGGAAAGTACACATGTATGTGATCGAAGTAGACTGCTACTAGAGCGTCGGCGACATGCTTTGGAGGTATCAAATCACCAATAGTATCTAGACGTGATGAGTGATCATCATGTTGCGACGGATCGTTTGATGCCTCCATCTCGGTCCTAGATCTCTTGCGGCTTCCATGGCTGGAACCTGGACGCTGACTGTATGATGGTGGAGCGAATTCGTCTTCAGACGGATTCGTGCTGCTGCGTTTGAGAGCTGACCCCGATCGGCTCGAGGGGTTTGAGGTGAATGATCGGAGGCCAGGAAAGTCGGCGCCTGATACGGCCTTCCATCGGGACGCGAGCGTGCGGATAGTGGATGCAAGTCGGAAACTACTCGACGGCCCGAAATAGTGTGAGGCACCACGATTCGTACGAATGATCTCGTCAGTCTGGGAAGATACTTGTTGCGTTATGGGCTGACGAAGGCGTTCTTTGCTTGTGGACAAGGCAGTAGTGCGCCGAGCAGAGTGCAGGGGATACGTGGTAGTCTGCGAGCCCAAGTATGCAGACGGGACAACTGGCGATGGCTGCAATGAGTGTTGCTGTTGTTGTTGCTGATCCAGCGAGGAAGTCTGTCTATCGCTACTGCTACTGCTGAAGATGTCTGCGGGAGTAAAGTCGTCGCTTGCTGGCATAGCAATGTTCCTGGTCGTGGCGATCTTGAACAGGGTCTCTGTGTCCTGAACATTCTCATCCGGAAAGAGGCCTTTGACTAGCGACTCAAGGGCTCTGTAGCGTAAGCTGAGGGTCTCCACACTGCCATAGACCCTCTGTTTACGTGGAAGCTTCGATTCACACACCACGCCATTCGCCTTGCAGTCTGCACATGGCACCTCGGCATTTTCGCGTATGCACCGTGCCCGTCGGATTTTGCAGCGGTCGCAGCTCACGAGGGCTCGCTTTCGTGATGACCCTGATTTGGCCGGGCGTTCGGCCATGGCTTCGACTTCGTCGCGAACAAGACCGGAAAGTGTAGCGGGCGTATTGACGCGCGAGAGATTGTGGAGTTCCGAGATGCGAAGATCGTATGATCACGTCGTCGCGCCCGCTGACAGCAGACCGTGGCCCTCATGCCGCCGACCAGGCCATCGGAGTTGCTTCCGTACCAAAGTTTACGCGCGTCACAATAAGGTTTACTGAGCGCGACCCAACTGGAAGGACCTTCTTTTGTGCTTATTAGAACTATCGCTCTATGCGTTCATTATTTATGCCGTGGTCTTGCCAGACCTCACTGCGCTAGTCTAGATACACCGGAATCCCGTATACAACTGCTGCAGCCCCGTTCAGGTACTTCAGGTAGCAGGCCTTTCTCGCATCCCGCACTGCCTCGTCTAACCCAACGCCCTTCTGCGACATCCGACCCGCGTTCGGACGATCATCCACCAATTTGCCGGACTTCTTTCCCTTCTTTGCACTATCTGAGCCTCTTGCAATCTCGACTTCCTCGGCCAATTGCGCAACTCGACCCTTGCCCTTCGCCTTCTTCGCGGGGGTTTTTGCGGGCGCTTTGGATGGTGGCGTATCTTCCTGTGCCTCTGGCCATAGTCCCCATAGTTCGCCCGCTCTGACGGCAAAACGATCGCAATCCTTGTCAGTGACATCCCACAGCATGCCGAGTACTGCTGGTGCGCCCGCAGTGAGATATGCTGCAAGCATACCCGAAGGCTCGAAAATGCCGTTTTCAGTCAGATGTACAGACGAACAGCCGAAGAGGAGAGTGGTCGCACAGCCAGGTCTTCTGTCCCCTTCATCTTGCTCGCCAGGATAGAGACGTCGCACTGATTTCGACTTGACGTACTGTGCACCACTGCCGTGACCAAAATACAACACCAAATCTTTCTCGCGCAGTGAATCTTCGAACTCTTTCTCGGACGGTGCGCGGTTGGCGATATGATTCCAGGGGCCTGCAAGCTCGTCCAGATGCGGTTTGATGGTTTTCGAAGTATGGGACAAGTCTCCGGATGGATTCAGCATGCTTGTACCTCCCGTACATGTGGCTATGTAATGTCCCGGAGCAGCGTCCTGCTGAGTTGTGGAGGACCGTGCGGAGAGTATGCGTTCGCGAAGGGCAGCAAGCGAAGGTAGCCGCGAGATAGAAAGCGGTTCCAGGCAAGGCAGCGACTCCCACGGGAACGCATGCAAGTTGTTGTCCAAGATGAGTATCGTGTGACGAGAAGCAGCGTCAGTCCTGTGAGACGCGCTGTGATAGGCGCGTAGTGCTTCGTACGTCTCCACGACCATGGCATCGAAATCGAGCTCGTCGTACGCGTTGCGCTCACCATTGAACTGAAGGATGTCTACAACGAAGTATATGAGATCCATTAGTGCTTCGTCCAAATCGAGGTCCTCATTGGTAGCGTCGCCCAGCCCAATGAACAACTCCAGTACTCTTGTATCCAAGACTGGTCGCTTTTGAGTGCTCTTCTTCTTACGCGAAGGCAGGTGCTCGTTGAGGATGTCTTCCAAAGCCTTACGGAATTTGGCAAGGAGAGCTGGCTGTCGCTCGTGTTGTGAGAAGATGCCCTTGAAGCCACCCAGCCAGATGTTTTCCATGTTGATAAGAAGCTCACGAAGTCGGGTGTCCAGAGCTTCGCGTTCAGCCCACCACTGGTGTCTTGCTTCCCTAGAGGTCATGTCCTTGGCAGATCGCGTACTGAAATCGCTGAGTTCGATGATTTCATCAAAATCCCTCTTGCCATCCTCGAAAGAGAACTCTTCCTCGTCCATCTCGCGCGAAGCGTGGCGAGCCAACGGTAGGCGCAATACGAAAGGAGACAAGCCACGCTCAAACCGGGTGATGAACAGCTCATCGCGGGCCTCACTAAGTGCCAGAGATACAGCAGACCAAGTTTCCGGAATGATGTCAACGTACTCCTTCTGAAAGCTGGAAACTGAGCTGAAGGCGAAATGCGATGAATCAGCGGCTGGCCATCGCAGGCAGTCATCCCGCGACAGTTGTTGCTTCTCTGCCTCTGTTGACTCTTGCACGAGGCGCAAGGCGTTGACTTTGGGGAGCTCGCTCATGTAGGCTGCGTATAGAGGGTGGAGAGATCCTGGCAGTTCGGTCCCCGAGACAGCCGACATCAAAACGGTGACATGTCCTAGCGCCATGGACGTTTGGCGGAAAAGGTGATTAGACCCATTGCTAGCACACAGGCTGTGTGCTTCGACGAGTCGCGCACGTGCTTCGCGAAGCGTATCCATAAAGTCTACCTTGGCTTGCTTCTTCGCTCGACCAGTCTTAGTAGTTGCTGAAGACCCCACAGTTGCCTTCTTGGTGGTGGTGACGTCCGAGAGCTCTTTGAGACCGAACGCAGGAAAAGCGATGGTCGATTCTGGCAGAGTGTTCACCGTGAAGTCTTCAGCAATCTGCTTCGCACTTTGTGCGAGCTTTGCTTTGAAGATAGCCCACATGTGCGACACCTCTTGACTCAGTCCGGTCTGAAGTTGCTCTGCCTCATCAAGAATGCTCAGGGCTTTATCGAGATCGTCGTGAAGGAGGCTAGCAAGGACAGCTCGGTCTCTCATGCTCGCCTGAAAAGCGCACAGCGCGGAGCACTGTTCGGCAATACTGGAAACTTCAGGTACTACAGCCTTCCCTATTTGACGTTTGGTCGTTGTGACAGCCTTCGCAGCTGCCCCAGTGGCCTTGGCCCTAGCGCCAGCGGTGGATCTTGCAGCCGCTCGCGGTGCAGCTTTGGCTGCGGGTTTACGGCCTCTCGTGGCTGGCTTCGCCTTGACACTCTCCGTAGTCTCCAAAGTCATGGAAGAGACCTGATCTGCAAGTGCGTCAACCGAGGGTGAGGAGGATTCCAACGTCTTGATGTACGATGGCAAGCTCAGCTCCTGAAGAAGCTTCTCCATGTGATCATAAGACTGGATCTCTTCCTCGTATTGACCGTTCCAGTGGTGCATCCTGGCCACGGCCGAATGGTAACCTGCAGTTGACAGGCACTTGCGGGACAAGTCAGGCTTAAGGGCACTGAGAATCGTCTCGGCTTTGTCGGGTCTTCCACTCTGGGCCCAACAGTCAGCGCGCCAACTAGCATTGTCCGTGATGAGAGTTGCAGATCCTGTAGCCGCAGCGACCTTTTCAGCCTGTTCAGCGACGTGAATAGCTTCATGTAACAGGCCTTGATGGGCGAAGATCTGAGACTGTTGCATCAAAGCTCGGTATAATGCGGGAACCAAGGACCAGAAATCAGGCCCATTGAGAGCGTCATGCGTTACAGACATGACGAGAGGCGCAATAGGTTCTTTGCTGTCCACGGGTGTCGTTTTCTTCGCATTGGCCCGTGATTCGAGGGCGGCCCAGATGCGACGATTGATTGTGACGCACTGTCTTGCATGCTGAGCCGCTGCCTTGTATGAGCCAGTAGCTGAGGCGAGAAGCGACTGGACATAGGATGCAGCCGCCACTATCTTGTTGAATCGTAGTCTGCCGGAGAGAGTTGTTGTTGACTTTGCGAGATCCATGAATTGTCGATCGTTGAGCGCAAGGGATTGTGCATTCGTCATCATGGTCAGACTGCCAGATGGTTAGTATTGCGGTATCAAAGCTATGCACTTCTCCACATACCATTT